GAGACAATTACCAAAAAAAGTTAAAGGCAATGCCTGTTAACACCACCACTATTCTCCTTTCAACGACATGAATAAGAACTTGACCAAACAAAAAAAGCCCCCACCGAGGTTTTATCACTTAGGAAAGTTATTCATTGGCCTTTTAGGTGCTGTTCACATATACACATGGCAATTTTTTGAGCCCCTAACTTAAAGCCTTCTGAACTGTACATTGCATCTTTACTGGTATTTCACAATTTTATCTTTAACTACAATAAGATAGGCCCTGTTCATGTGTACAGCTGTAGTTGGATATTTCATGAGCTCCGAACTTGAGCCTTTGAACTGTACATTGCATCTATACTTGTATTTAATGATTTTATCTTAACAATCTACTGGAAACTCTGTGCGTATATAAAATTTTCACATTTCACTTGACGTAATGCTGATTTCTTAGGCTTTGCAATTGTTCACTCTGCAGGCCTATTGACTTTGTGCTTGTTTACATTATGGTGTGTCGCAGCCCAGTGGCGGTGCCAGCGGGGGGCAGGGGGGCTTAAGCCCCCATCGGTCTGGACAAGCCAATCATCGGCCAAAGCTCGTCGGACAGTCGGACCAAAAAAAAAAAAAAAAAAAAAAGGCCTAGTTTTTCCATCCTAGCCATGTCCGGCTATCTATAAATCCCAATTCACTGTCGCAGCCCCCTTGAAGAGTGGCCTAACACATGGTATGCTCTCTGGTGGTTTGTCTTGTAGAAAATCTAGATTAAATTATTTAGAAGCGGTCGGCGCATCGGTTGTGGCTTGGACTTCCAACCTCGAGGTCGGGGGTTCGAAACTCTCGCTGCGCCAACTGCTTATGTCCTTGGGCAAGGCACCTTATCTACGGTTGCCTCTCTCCACCCAGGAGTACAAGTGGGTACTTAGTAGGTTCGAACACAACTGTGCTGATTACTAGCTGCAATATTATGCAATACTCCCCAGGGAGCGGAGTATGTGTTCCATACGTGTTTGATCTAAAGACCGGGGTATGCATGAACTGCTATATAAGACTGACATATTATTATATTATTAATTTGTGTTTCAGTTTATGATTTTCTTAAAGTCAACAAATTGCTGCACACTCATGCTGGGAGAAAGGTCAACAGGTCAAAAAAGAAGTTTTCTCTTGACCAAAAGTCTGTTTTGCTGTTGTCCAAAGGGAAGAGTTGCTGCTTAGAATGAAACTCCATTAAAACAAAGAATTCTGCAGTTTGCGAATATGTAATTGACAAACAATTGGATATTTTTTTTGTTACAGAGACATGGATGGCTGGTTCTGGGGAAGGATAACATTGTCTTTGCTGAAATTGCGAATATATAACAGGACCACTGTGCATACAGTATTCCACAAACCCACAGCTCTGGTGGGGGCATCTGTATACTGTACCATCCTGGTTTTCAATTGTCTGTCATTGATACCAAGAAGTGATGTCTTTAGAATGTGCAGGTGTAACTCTGACATCTTCTAGCACATCCATAAACATCTTTAATATTTACAGACCACCTCCAGCCTCGCTTAATAAATTTACAGTTTCACCGTTCATGAAGGATTTCAGCCGCCTTCTTGAGTTAATTAATACATTCATACAAGTAAGATATTGTTGGTTTGGAGACTTTGATTTTCATCCACAGGTAAATGAATTGAGAAATTCTGATGCTCTCAGATTTGTAACTGCCAACAACATTTTTCAATGTGTAGCCCATCCTAACCACCATCAAAGTCATATACTGGACCATGTGATGACATGTCAAAGCGACAACTTTGTCTGATGTTGCACTTCACGAAGGTCTGCCATCTGACCACTTCACCTTAACCTTAATGGTTGACCTACAGTACAACAACCAAAGCCCACAAAACTTTGTGTATGTTTCACAAAGCTTCAGGGTGTTTGTGCTGAAGCAGTGAAAGCAGACATCAATCTTCATGTCCCATAACCTTTTCTGACAACAATCTTACTCAACTCACTGACCAATATGATGTCACTCTTTGGGTTTGATCAACACACACCAGAGATCACTAAGAAGATCACTCTCCCACCCCATGCTCCTTGGTTATCTGATAAACATTAAAGGCCGGTTCCCACTAAACTTGTCAAGCGAAAACGTCGAGCGTCACGCGGCAAGTGAAGAGAATTGCGCAAAGTTCACAAGAGTTGACTTTCGGTCAAGAATGTCTCGTTTCCAATGATTCACTTGCCTGTTCCCACTGCTGGCCGCGCGCAAAAACTCGAAATGGCGGGTGGCAACAGAGAAGTAATTTTGTTATCGCATTGATAGACGGAGGAAAAGGGCTGTGAGACGAATCAGATAAAATCCTCAGGATTAACATTCCCAGAACTCTATAATGAATCAAAAGAGTGAATATAAACAGTTTTTTTAGTTCATATTTATTCAAGGCCTAGTGTTAGGCCTCCTAAGGGTAGATAGTAGGCCTACCCTACCCTACCCTACGGTAGGTCTCAGGTGTGCAGGGTATCAGAGGCCTAGGCTGGACAGGCCTAATACTGGTAGAAAGAGGAGATAACTCAACTCGTCTCTGCAAATCCTTTTCCACGCATTGTCACATATTTTCTTTGCTCCCTTGTCACAGACCTAAACAAGGGTAGCCTAATACTGTTCCACAGAGTTTGTATGAAACGGACTCGTCGGTCATCGTTCGCACATCTGTACATTGTTTTGACAATGTTTGTGACTTTATTGTTGACCTTTGACATAAATTGAATCTAAGATTGCGATTGGTCCATCGGCCGCGAATTCACTCGCGAATCCGAAAAATTGGTCTTGGATCAACTCTTTTGAATTCGCAGGCGAAGCCTCCCCGACCACTGCACGTAAAGCGTCGAAGTTCGAATATTGGCCGTTCGCGTGTTCGACTACAAATTTGTTTGCATGTTCACATTTGAAATGCCAGTGGCGTCTTTGATTCAGCCGCGCGTGCCACATTTCGACGCGAAATTCGCTTGATCGCATTCAGTGGGAACCGGCCTTTTGTGAAAAACGTATTAAACGTAAACTGGAAAAAAAATGGTTAAAAAAAAAAAAAATATTCGATAGAAAATTATTCTTATATCTGTCTAAACTCTCTGAAGTCAAATCAAGCTATCACACTTCCCAAATTTCTAGTAGCAACCAGAAAGAGCTTTTCCGTCTTGTTGATAAACTCTGCAAAACTAGATCAGAAATTAAATCAACACTTGATGTCACTTCATATGCAAACTTTTTCAGGAGGAAATCTGTAAGGTCAGGAACAGTTTATTTTATTAGTCTAGGGTTAATCTGGCCGAGAGAGAATTCCATGATATTTCTTTTCACAAGCTACGTCTGGGCTCAAAAGATCTAGTGAAAAAATTAATCTTGTCATGTCATGTTCCATAGATCCTTTTCCAACATGGCTAGATCAGGAATGCATCGATGATCCCAAATTACTGCTAACATTACATATTAGACTATACATTGGACTACTTGCTTTTTTAATTTACATTAATGACATGCCAAATTGTATCTCACAGTGTATATAAGTCTCTATGCTGATGACACTGCCATTTACTATTTACTATGCCTCTAAATCTGCAAATAATTCAGTGTTTAAATACTGATTTATCAAATATTAACATTTCATTAGGCCTATTTTTATGCAACTGTCCAACTGCCCGACAAGCTTTGGTAAATGGGGGCTTGAGCCCCCTGCTTCCCCCCGCTGGCGCCGCAACTGTTCAGAAAGTTCATCAATCTAAGTGACTTTGTAAACTTCTCAGACACATGCATTAACACAATTACCTCTGCTCGTAACCTTGGAGTTGTCATTGACTCCAACCTTAAGCTTAATACTGAAAAAATAATAAATGTACTTCTGCAAATCTTTCGATCTACAAGTTCAGAGAGATATTAAAATATCTTGACAAACAGTTAACTGAAAGACGTGCATGTGCTTTTTACATCAAGTATTGACTACTGTAATTCTTTCCATGGCTTACAAAACTACTAACTTACTAAACTCCAAAGCCTGCAGAACTCTGCTGCAAAGCTGTGAAAACAAGAGAACATTAAAGCTGTTCTTTACGATCTCCAGTGACTGCCTGTTCAGAAGCTCATCCAAATTAAAACATTTCTCCTCATTTACAAAACATTGCATGGAAAATATCCACCTTTCATACACAAACTGCTATCCATCTACACACCTTAACACACACTCAGATCAAAGTCACAACAGATTCTGAAACCTCAAAAGGTTCAACACAAATTACGGTTCACAGGCTTTCTCTGTACTGCGCCATTGCTTTGGAATGGACTTCCACCAACCATTTCCAATATTACTTCATTAAGGCCAACTCAGACAGCGTCGGCCGACGCAGCCCGACCCGATTTATCGTCGGGGACAGTCTTGAGCAGTCGTGAGAAATATTAAACATGTTTAATATTCTACAACGCGACTGCCCCCGACACACACCATCGCGTCTGCGTTCAACTCACACAGACCCGACGCGACAACAAATCACGTCGGCCGACGCTGTCTGAGTTGGCCTTTAGCTGCGTTTAAAAACCAGCTGAAGACCCATCTCTTTTTAGTTTTTAATAGCAACATTTGGAGCTTGCCTGTGATCTGAGACGTTTTGTGTAGAGCGCTATACTAAAGCAAAATTATTATTGTCATCATTATTTTTTTTTAAAAAGCAGTCCAGTGCAATTAAAAATCATCATTTCTTAGAAAAACCTTTTCCTTACAAAAAGCATTTTAGACATTAGTATACCGGTTACTATCTATCTATATAACTACAGTATCCTTTAATCGATGAGGATTTTTTTTTTCAAAATTTCCTTTTTAAATACACAAATTAAACAATTCAAATATAGAAGTATATTTTTTAGCTAATGAACTTAAAGTGTTAGCACTCCATGATTGCAAGAAAAGCTGTAGTAAATAATCAAGTAACAACTGAAGAAAAAACAGTTGAAGTAAGAAGAAAATTAAAATATACTAACCTCTCCATAGTCAATATCAATTGGGAAAAACTTATTTGGTTTCTTGACAAAGTCTTCGCACCCAAATTTATTTCCAGTTTTTTCCTTGTAAACGTCGCAAAAGTCTCTGATGGCATGACTCCGATCACTAAAAGATGAGAGCTTGTTACCACCAATTATGGTACCAACACGCCCCCATGAACGGAAAATATAGTACCTTTAATTAAAAATACAACAAAACAATTGTTAATAATATCATAAAATGTTTTGAATCTGATGACTTACATATATTAATTAAGTTCTGGGAAAGTAATTATCTATCACATTTATCTTTTGGATAGGTTTTGTTCGTAAAAAAGTTCAGATATTGACCACTGGGCATGCTTGGTTAATTTGTCAATCCTACAGTGGGAATCACAGGAGATAGAAAACTTGCAAATCCAATAGAGAGCAAAAAAAATTAAGAAAGTAAGAAATAGACATGCATAGAGACCTACTAAAAAAGGTTTTTAGTCCCACTCACATTGCTTGGAGGGTGGAAGGAGGTAGCTCTTGAGGTAAGCTTGTTTTATAGATGCTCTGAAATGCCCTTTCCTACATGTATTTTGAGAGGTTTAATGCTCCAGCAGGCTGGTAATGGCTAAAGTGATGTTGAAATTGAAGACATTGACGATGATGATTCCATTTCCATATTTAGAAAATTAATCTATGCTAATGATTAAAGAAATATAAAATTTGCTTACTTATTTCCGTTATCTGCCTCAAGAAGTTGAAGCTTATAGTATGAGTTAGTGCCCCTTGTGATATCCACCATGCTTAAGGTTACACTGTACAGTTTATCATTCATCTTAAGAACATGGGCCTGAGCTTCCAGGTCTATAAAAAGAAATAAATAATATACCAGGTCTTTAGAGGCTTTCCACAACATAGTACCTCAGGTGTACAGTTTTTGAGCTAGACTCTTGGTTCCAGATAACACCAGTGTTTTCCCCAGGCCCTTTAAGAGTTACAGTACCGTGATGCTTCTCACATCCTCCGTGACTGTCTATCGTTAGTACGTCTTATGTGATGCTTAACACGTTGACTGCCAGACCTTTTTCTAATGTTCCTTCCCGCGTGCTAAAACAATGTACAAACATACTTTTTGAAATGTTGCCTCTTAATTTACGAATGTGTGCAGGAGCTTTGAGGCAAACAAGCGTACTTCTTGGTTAAATGCATATGATTTTAAAACGTACTTAGGCACATCCTTTGGACACAACTCTGGTCGCACACATGTGTAGGATTTACATTACTCAGTTAAAAAACTTATTTAAAATTAAAAAAAATACATGTGTACCAAAAATACTTAAAATTGTTACTAGTGAACTTATTTATTAAAAAGACCGTCAGTGGATGACGGACGAAAAAATTTTATAAAATGAAATTTTATTCCATATATAGCAAAATGGTTTAGCCCAAAGCATCTATGCGCAGAATATAAAGATAAAATATTATTGATGAATGTAAACAATGTAGTATATGAGACTGATAAATGCTTATTCGCAATATAAGGGGTTTTAGGTGATTTTAACTACTTGACAATCATTTTTGGGGGCAACCATGCAGTGGCGTAACTCGAGGACGAACCCCCTAGTTACGCCACTGCATGGAGATAAACACCACCAAAATTGTCTTTAAAAATATCCTTTACGATTGTTGTCCTGATAGACTTATTTGCCCTAATACAACATTTGCCCAGAAAATGAATGGAAATGATACAATTGACCTCTGACCTTATATTCACTGAATTTGCATAATGTACATAAAATCTTGATTTAGGTCTCAAATTATACAAATACATGATTCTTTACAATATATTTATAGAAGGGATGGAAATCTATAATCACACCATGGTCACATCATGGGCGAGTCGAATGGCCGAGTGGTAAGGCAGGGCGCCGCTAGCTACAGACTTAACATTGGCGAGTGGGTCCAGCCGCTCTTCGCCCATGGTTCGGTTGGTAGAACCATGTCTTCTCGGATTTAGGTCTCAAATTATTCAAAAAACCTGTAAATGCTTCCAGCTTCTTATTCTATATGTCAAAAAAGTGGATGATTCCAGATTCATTAATACAAATTCTCATGCAAGTCCACTTCCTAAGCATTTCCACATACTATGGTTAAAAACTACATGGTTAAAAATAACATATTTTGGGAATGCAGAACAGATTCCAAGCTTACCACTAGAGGCAGGATTCTGCACCTAGAAGCAGGTGAGAATAATCAATTATCATTAAAGATATTAGACAAACATCAAAGTTTATAGTAACTTGTAATTAATCAGCACATGTCCCTTTAACTACACATTTCATGAAAACAAACTATGAACTTCTAAGTGAAAATGTGTAGCTAGCAAATAAATATGTACAGTGTGTTGTACGCATGTGTTTTTGTGAGTACAAAAATATTTTTTAGCTATAACCATCATATTTTCTTTAAATTTATAATATATTTTACTGAACTCATATTACACTTAAGGGACTTTAGGGGAAGATAAAAAACTAATAGTTTATCAAAACAGATTCTGTTTTCTGTTTTCTTATGATTTATCTTTACATATTTTGGTCTGTGATGCAAAATTTACATTTTTTGAGATATAAAAATTTAAAATTAATTTTTTTTTCATACAATTTAAAGAACTTAATGGAATATAACTTCAATTTCGTTAAATTAATGCTGTATGCCCCTAAAATGCATTCTAAATCCTAGAGGAAATATTTGTATCACTTTCTACTTTCTAATCTTTGCATGATCAAGAAATGAAAATTACAGTATAGTTACCGGCATCATATTTTGCTAACCTACATAAAAATGCATGTTATTTTTTCAGAATAGACTATGTGCAAATTCAATGATGATATTTTGTCTCAAAACAGATGGTGGCCACTTTACTTGGTTTCCATACTAGTTAATATTCTACGATACTATTCAAAATGGGAAAAGCCACAAAAGGCCACAAAATGACCAGCTGACTTTCCTCCGTAGTAAGTTAATAAAACTGTTGCCAATACATGATAATAAAAATAATCATTGGTATTCTGTTGTACAGAACATGAGTTAAGACCATCCTCATGATCAATTGACATGCATATTGAAAATTGACCCCCAGTATCAAATGGAATAATCTACATATTGATAAGAGGATGAGACTACTCCAATAATGTATTAGACCATTTAGAATGACTACCTTTCCACTTTAAATACTCTGCTGTCAACTTTTGGAGAGGACAAATTCCAAGTACATAGAGATTTCACTATTAGTAAATTTCAATCTTCCAAGCACAAACAAGATTAAAGGTAAAGTATACTTCTGAATTTACTTGGTTTATTGCCTCAATGCCTAAATTATTATAATTTGATTCGTTTGTTTTTTGTGACGATACTGCTCTTTTACTTTCTTCCTCTGGACCATGTCAGCGTTCAAAGTGAATATTGCAAAATGGTTTGAACACAATTAGATTTAATCTAACACTAACAAAAAACAAGGTTTATAGTTTTTTGGTACTAACTTTTGCCTAAATATTTACCAAAATATTTATTTAAAATGTAATGGTCATGTTATTGAAAGGGTGAATGATAAATATCTTGGTATTATAATACTTTGACACCAATTTAAATTGGGATAAACACATTGATAAAGTTCCATCCAAAGTCTCATTAGCACATTAGTGCACATTAATGTCACCCAGGGCCCGGGGGGGGGGGGGAAGCTCTGGCGTCTATAGCCTTTTTTAAGTCATATCTAATTAATCTTAAGGGATGCAATTAAAATTTATTTCCACACTACATTTTCAAAATACAGTGGTGGGTCCAGGAATTCCAAGAGGGGCAGCTCAGGGAGGGAATTTTACAGATGGAGTGTGTGTGTGTGTGTTTGGTGTGGCTGAGGTAAGAAAATTTATGATTATGGTACCTCTAGTTGACCGGAAATGGCACTTTCAGACTTAAATTTGAATATATTTTTCTTTCTTCTGCACTTTAAAATTTTGAAAAAAAAAAGGGAGGGTGGGCCGGCTGGTCCCCCTTGAATCTGTCGCTAAAATACTCATCATTTTTTCCCCCAATTTATCCTGGTAATCATTATCATGCTATACATATTTCGTGCAAACTAACATTCATAAAAATAGTGATTCATTATCTACTGATTAGCTTGTGACGTATTCGAACCATGAAAACCAAAATGATAAACTATGTTCCTTCATGAAGTTTTTATTATTTGTTTTTGCTTTACTTTCATGTAAATCCTGAACATAATGTTTATTGAACCTTAACAAGAGTTAGTGAAAAAAAATTAAAACATTGAAAAAAGAGAGAATAAAGGTGGGCTACACCCACGAAAGACAAAAAAAAAAATGTTCCTTCATGGATAAACTTAAAACAGTCACTCCAATTCAATCTTTGCAAGTACAGTACTTTTAAAATTAATCAAGAGGTTTTCCTTTTCTCCTTTTTGAATTTTTAAGTTTTGTGCGAGTAGTATTGCAACTACACATGAGTGGAAATACTACCGTTTAACTTAAGATCAAGCAGGACTATTAGGAGATAGGAAGCACACACAACATTAGCATTTTTATTTCATAAACATACAGGGTGATTTGCTTAATTTACCATTATCATGACATGGGAATTATTGACTTTTCTGAACGGGAAATATGCTCCCCCTCCTAAGCTTAGACACCCCTTCCCTCAGGGGTGTCGCAAATGACTAATACGGGAAGTCGCAAAGCAAATTATGATTACGGCACCTCTAGATGCCCGGAAATGGCACTCATTCAGACTTATTCAAATTTTATCTCCATTTTTAAAAAATAAATTTTGACAAAATGTAGAGGGTCCTGGTTGGCTGGGCACCCCATCCCCACATGATTAATATGATATATGTCCTACAGTCAACGTCAGTCATTCCGCTATTATGTATAAACTATGCCCTTTTAGATCAGTTTAGATCAGGGTGTTATAGAGCGAGGATATTATGTGCAGGGTTACCGCATGCACAGGGACCCCTAAAGGTCGATGGCCCTGCGGACCACCGCACTAGAGCGCATACGAGTTACATCACTCAGCATAGACTATAGCTGTTCTGGCAGGGCACACTACATTCCGATAATGCAGGTAAAAACCCCGTCTTAAGTCTCCGTCTTTTGGCCTTTTTTACATCCTGGTTTGTGAAATCGTTGGAAAAAAAACGGCGTTGGGGATACAGCGTAACGCAATCAATAAAAAATTCAAAATTTGTGAGTGGTAAAATAATCGAGTTCTCCTTTCGCCCACTGCTGTGACTGCCACTGAGCTCATGGGTACACTTTTATTTCCTCGATGATTTCGAACAAAAATAACATTTTATTTTTCTTGGTTAGGGCTACGAAAATGTAAATTAAAAAAAAAATCATATGCTTTAATTTATTTTTTTTTACACAACCTCCACTCATCTGAAATCGGCAAAAGAAATAGTTTGTTTTATTTAGGCCTATATCAATTTATTAGTCTGACCTGACCTAGACAGAACATTCATCATTAATATTTTATCTTTATTTTCTCCTCTGCCTAAATGTTTTGAGAAATAATTTTGCTAAATAAGAAAACAGAAATTCATTTAGGCCTATTTTTTTTTCGGAGCTCCTCTGGCGATTGTTTAAAAATAACTTCGCCAAACATCGGAAAAAGAAAATGTATCACCTTACTAATATTATATCAGTCAAAACAAAGATGGCGAGCTGGACAAATGCAGAGAGGCAACAAAGCCATTTTAATCTTAATGCACAAAATTTGCCTCGTGTTATACGTTCTCGAAAATATAGTTGCTGCAGCATGTATGTGCAGTACATAGAAAACAA